ATTTTTATTTTCCCGATATTATTTCCATGGCTCATTCTCAAAGTCCCGGTTGTCTGTAACCAGATTCTCTTAGTCCCTCCTCGTCCCACTGCTCTCTACGCTTGGCCGCACATGAGTTTTTATAGTTTTTCATTATTTGCATAGGGCTTATCTCCAGGGAGAATTAGTGGAGAGGTGGCGAGGGGAGCGTGGAGTGGGCGGAGAGGGCGGGGACTTGGTGGGTGAAAGGGGGCGTGGTCCAGACAGCAGGAGTCACAGAAGCAACCGTCGATTGTCACGTCCCCTGTCGCACCTGCTCCCCTACACTTCATGGAAAATCCCCTTTTATGTATTACTTAAACGTTATTAAAAGAGCTTTAAAAAGAAGTACATGTATGAAATCAAGGTATTTTGTTTAAGTTATATATTAAATACGATGAAATTTAGTTTTTAATTTTTTAGTTCCAACATTTAACAAAATTTTGATATTTTGATTTGGAGCTAGTTATTTCAATTAAATACTCCCTTGAAAACATATTTTCCAACCATTTTCCCTTGCCAAACTTTATTTTCGATTTCCCAAAAAATACCTCCAGTCTTTGGAGGATTTTTTAGTTAAGCGTACGATGCGTGAGCCAGGACTCCTGTCCTCTAGTCCTGTGTTCTTCCCTCTGGAGTGGCTTTCGTTTTGGCCCGGCAAAAATGGAAATTTGCTACCGCTTATTTATTTTTTCCCCGCCATCCGCCCGCCCCTCGCGATTTCCACCTGCCACCCACGGGTTGTACAAACGAAGCATGAACCGGGAGCGTAATTCAAGCGGAAAATTGTCGCGCAACGTCGCGTCGTCTTGCCATCCTTCGTCCCCCCGAACTGGGTTCTTATATCGCTCAGTGGGAATTCCCAGGACCTCCGCAGTGCAGCGAGCTATGTAAACGGCACACGGCTCTCTGCGAGTTAACAATGTTTTTAGCCGGGTTGTTGTTGCTGCTGCCGCCAGGTTGCCTACCTCTTACTCGCTCGCGTTGTTAATATTCTCGGCTTGCACGCCACGCGAAATTGACGCGTATTAGAGACAGGAGGTCCTGAACTCAACCCAACCGAACGGAACCTTTCGTTTTGCGAGCAGGATGTCCACGGTCCACGCTCTACGGTCTACTGTTTCCTGGCCTCCAACCAATCGGAATGTTTGATCAGGCATTGCATTTGGCTCATCATTTTCATCGGCAGTTGCCGCAGCACAAGAAGCCGTGAGGTTTCATCCTCGCAATCGCCATTCACCGCAATTGAAAATCGCGCCCTTTGTTCACACTGAGCGAAAATATTAACTAAGACTGAAAATAGATAATATGATTTCAGATATTCCGAGTAAAATTTATTATTTTTAGCTGAGAGGCATTTAAAAGATTATTCATTTATTTTACTATTCATTTTTTATAAAATGTATGCATGGAATTTGAAAAAATTTAAAATCTATAGTGATTACACAATTGAAATTCTGTTTTACAGGCCGCGGTTAAAGGGGATTAATTTTTTCTTACTGTACACTCATTGGTGATTTTGTGTTGCCCTTCTAGCCGCAAATCGTGTTAGCCACGCCATTAGCAAAAGCTCGCAGAGAACGGCGGCGCATCAAGGAGCGGTCAGGCCATCGGGGAGGAGATATATGAAACGGATCCGGGTCGGCAGGTCCCGGGTCGTGGCTCTCCGGCTCCTCTTTCTGTTCCTGCTGCTGATTTTGCTCCAGCTCCTCTAATGTGCACGCTCCAATAGCCGTAAACCAATTCAAAAGCATATTTGCAAGCACTGATGGACCGTGGACCGCAACGAGAGGGCCAAGTGGGGATATTGGCCGCCATCGAACGGTGATGTACAATGGCAGAGGGCCTTGAAATATAATATTTAGCCCGGCTGCGAGTGAGTTGAGCCCTTGGCTTGTCTACGGCCAGAATCACTTGAAATCCACATCGCGCAATGCACATGACAAAATTCAGAATATAAATATATTGATTTAGGGATAATATTTGCAATTTACTATGTAATTTTATGACTGAACGTGAAAGAACATTTTAAAATTCGTAAAATTATTGTAAATAATATAAGCTGATTGTTCTTTATTTATATTTTTGAGTACTCAACAGTTCCTTGACTTGACATTCAGATTTATTGGATCATCCCGTCGAGACTTTGTAAGCTCTTTGGATAACACTTGACTCTTTCCTGAGTGTAGAATCTGCGTTATCTCGACTGAGGGGCTTCAGCTGATGGCTGGCCTATGTCACCGATGAAGATGCCAGAGTGCCAATGCCATTGCCAATGCCAATGGCTTTGCCTTTTCGTTTGCACCATGTGCGAGCCATAACAATGTGGAAAATTGTTTCCTGTATCAATTTCACACATTAAGGAAGCAATTCGATTTTATCGCTTCCTCATGACTACACGTTCAATTATTGAAGAGTTTACGTTTTGCTCTCGGCGTTCCCGCCTCCGAATTCCAGAACTTCCCCGATTCAAGGTTAGAGCCTTAAGTAGTCTTGTCCCGGCCTCTTTGCCAAAAAGCATTTTGCATACATTTGTCTGTCTTCCGATGTGAGCCTCTTTGGATGGGAGTGCGTGTGTGGTTTGTGTTCGGTTTAGGAGGTAATTCTTTTCAATTGTTGTCTTACAGGGCGTTTTACAAGCCACTTTTTGTTGTTTGAGTTTTTTGGGAAGGGGAGGAGTAAGCTGGGCTTAAATTCTATGCCATGTATGAGTTGATTGGCTTTTGCTCACATAAAATAAATTAGCTTCTACCTTATGAACAAACTTATTGAACTTTCCAACCACTTACCTGAGTTTATTATTACCAAAGGTACATTCATAAAGCCCAAAAACATATTGAAGCTCGTTTCCCGACATTAGCCATTACCCGAAACCATTGCGCTTTTAATATTTACCAATTTTGATTATCCAAAAGAGAACGGGGCCCGACCTGAATCAAAATTGAAATCTCTGCGCCGACAGGAGCGTTTAGGCGACGAGGAGGCCAACTTCCGACTTTGCCCCGCGTTTTGTGGCCCTGTTTTCCCTTTTCAGGCAGCCTCTGCTGTTTGCATATCAATTTGGGAATAAGCAACTCGGAGCTGACAGCGTTTGTGTCAACATCAACAACTGCTTGGTATGCGTGGCAGGCCAACGATGAGGTTGCCATTCGGGCCACACACAAAATACAAATGAGCCATTGTGGGTCACGTAGCGCTCAATAGGTCAACGGGTCATAACAGATTCGTTTCGATATTTGTTTATTGATGGCTTTCGCTCGCGCCGCCTGCCAAATGTAATTAATAAACAATGGACGATGGCCTGCTCTGCTGTCGAGCACAAATTCAGCGAATTAGCGAAGAAATTAAAAAGTAATTTCTGCAGAGAAAACAGCATGGAAGTGAAGCACTTGCAATTGTCAGCTGAAAATGTTGCGCATGCAAATGAAGAGGAAGATCCTTAAACGGCTGATGATGACGATGGTCTGACAACGATGCCAACTGCCAGACCGAAGTTGAAACTTTTAATTTGATTTGCAGCATTTTAATGGATTTTAATGAAACGCAAACAGGCGACGATTGCAGTGGGGAAAAAGGGAAAAAGAATCGCTCCGAAAAGGACACTCAAGGGACGGAGCGATGAAAAACTTTGACAAATGCCAAAGCGCGAAAAATTCACTTCACTTTATTTTCGGTAACTTAGACGCGACTCAAGAACTTCCACTTGATAAGCGTTTGTCTGTCTGTCTGTCTGCGCTCCGCTCCCTTTCCGTTCGTTAATTGAAAATGTTTGAAATTCCATGCCGACTGTCGGCTGGGTAAATCACAAAAATCGTCGAGGCGCGAATAATTCAAAATTAATTTCAATTAAGTGTACTTCCCGAAACGTGAATATGACAGCTATGCGTCATAAGTCATGCATGTTTTTGCTGCAGACAGACCGACTGAAGGACTAACTGACGGACAGACCGACTGAATGACTGACTGACTGACGGAGAGGGCTAATTAAAATCACATAAATTACGCATACGCCATGTGGCCGTCGCTTGCGCGAAATGGAGCGAAAATGTGAAAAGTTTTGGCATTTTTGATCAAAAGTCCATGGGTCGACTAATTTGATTAGCTTCCAGGCCCAGGCTCATTAAGAGGTCGAGGCCTTTGTCCTTCTTGTTTTTCGACCGCTTCTTTTCTTTTTCGCTTCGCATTTTCCATTTTCTCGGCTTTTCGGCTTAAAATCGTTCGCTTTTGTCCGGTGTATGTGTGTTTGTGTGTGTCCCATGGCCTATCTGTCTGACAGAACTCATGCAACATTTAGTGGCAACTAATTGCAGCAGCATTGAAATTAATTATTTAACCCTTTTTATTGTTTAAGCCCTCGCTTGGCTTTCGACTTTGGCTCTCAGGAGCCGAAACCCGTTGCCTTTTTGGCCCGCGCCTCATTAGCATAACTAATTGAGCAAATTTACGTCGTTAAACAAGTTATTATTTCAAATTAAACGAGTACGTTTCGTCACTGCCAAGGGGGCCAAAATTGTCAGGAGCTTAATAATAATTTCTTTGATATCATCCGTTGACCCTGACCGTTTTGAAGGCTTTTAGGAAAGTTAAGTTGTTTTGTCTGTCGTAAAATTGGTTAAAATTGTTCAAAATTACTTGAAACTTGTTGTTACATTTTTAAGTAGATAAAATTTGGTCGAAGTCATGCAATTTATTAAATAAATTAGTACAAGGGTTTTCGATTCCATTGCCCTGTTCTATAAGTCTCTTTAAACTGAACTCATTGTAAATACTGTTCGACGTCCAAATTTATTTATTTTCGAAGCCCTAGCTTTCAATTAAAACTGCCGTAGTGAATTGGTGCACCAACCTGTCTGTTATAATACAGATTAGCGATTCGAACTCTGAATAAACGCATTGAAATCCATAAATTGGATTATTTATTTATCTTATTTATTTGAATTTTTCATGAACAGCAAGGAAACAAAAAACAAATGAATTGCAGTTCGCCTTTTGAAATATTTTACACAATATAATGGCTATTGGCCAAAATGAAAAACTAAAGTAAATGCTTTTATATACATTATCATTATTTGCTCTTGTTTATTTTTATTTTCTCGTGTGTGTTTTTTGTATTCTTTACAACCGAAAGATGTGCGAATGAGTAGGTAAATTAATTTATACATTTATATTTTTTGTTCGGCATGTTTTTTCACCACACACTCTGAGTTTTATTTTAATTGGATATACTTATTAACAAAAAATGATTTCAGAGATGTCCTGGCTTTTATTCAGTATTATACCGTGGTACAATATGTTTTATGTGTTTTTTTTTATTTAGTGGGCCGTCTGTTTTCAGATCATTTTTTTTAGAGGGCTTTGACCCAGCGAATAATGATTAGTGTCTATTTGTAGTTGCTCAGCTAAATGAAATGTTTACTGTGTTTTTGTTTAGTTTCACCAGCTATGTAGTTGTGCTGTTAGCTTTTTATGTCGGCCTTAGTAAATACATGCTGAGATATATAGCGAATAGCTTTATATACATACGTATTTGGCTGAGTCTGGCTTAGTGACATGATTTATAGTTGTTTGTCCTCTCTGTTTTTAATGTTTAAAATTGTATTTACAACGTATTTATGCTAGACTTAATTATAGTGATTTTTACAGCATCTGCATTCTGGGTTTCCACTGATAAAATCTCATGTTATATCTGTGTTTATGTGTTCACTTATTTTTTATTGTGTTTCATATGTATTTTTTGTTTTTCATACTTTACCCTTGGCATGGGATGTGCGCGGATATATTTGCTCGAAAAAGGTTCCATGTGCAATACGAATGAGAATCAATTGCCGAACAACAATCGAAAAAATTACGCTTATATACATATATTGGAAATTCGTTTGGTTTGCCGGAGAGTGACTTATTTTGGCTAGTATCAGTGTCAGGCAGGTAAATCAATTTTTTCTGGCAGTTTTTGATCGATTTAATTTTCAGTTATATTTTGTTCGTTATGCTTGTTAAACTAACCGACAGGAAAATATTCATTTACAAGAATAACATGACTTTCACTAAAGAGAAAATCGTGTTTTTCACTCCAAAAGTCGTGTTAACAAGCTGAATTTCAAAAGTTATATTGACATTGTCAAACAGAGCACTCGCAATGAAACTATGGAAAACAGTTTTTTATGTATTGTTACCTAAAAAACATTATTCATAAATAATTGAGCTCTCGATTCATACAATCCAACAAAAAAAAACTAGTTTAAAAGCAAAAGCTTTGAAACATCATCATAAACACTTTCACGAAACAATTATTTGTATAAATATTTGTATTGAACTCTGTTCATATAAGTATTTTTAATACGAAATTAGATGGAAAACATACTTAACTTATTTAAAGCAACAGGATATTTGTTTTTTGTTCCTTGAGCATTTATAACCTTCAACACTTTTATCCTTACTTCCTTAATTTGTATTTACATATATCAACCCAAAAGCTGTTCCTATTCACTAGTTCGCGGTCTTACCTTTGTCTGTTATCCTAACTAACTAACTAGGTGACTAACTGACTGACTAACTAACGTGATGATATAGTTGACCAAGTTGCCACAAGAGACGTTTTCCATTGCGACCCCGAAGATTTTAGTTCATCCTTCAACTGCAATTCCCTGATAGATGTGAGTGTTCATGATGGGCGCCGCAAACAGTGGATTAGCAGAATTGCCGCCAGGATGGCGGAAATTAGTGATGTCCTGTCACCAAGGCTCCTCCTTTGTGCCGCTCCAGAGTCTTTAATTGCGGAAAGAGAAGAAGACATAGACAAATAAACCGACGGAAGTGGCACGGGAATTAGTTAATTAAATTGAAATCAAATCAAATTAAATCTTAAAAGGATGTCGAAGTTCATTAAGTTAATCCCGTATATTGTAAATCAAAATTTGTAAAATGCCACCTAAAATTAAAACTACTATTTTTTCAAATTTAAATACTCTTTTAATAAATTAAATAAAAGGCTATAATAATAAGTTAAAACATTAACTTACTAGCATTTGCATGTCTCAGCGGCATTTGATTGTTGAAATTGTCGAACTGTGAAAGCGACGCACTGAGCGTCTTTTCGCGCCTCAGCTCCGGATAGTTTTCAATTTCCGCAACGCACTTGAGCTCCAGGATTTTCCCGGACTGATAGAAGCGCTGTCCTTGCAGATAGAAGTGCACCTGAAGTCGTTGCCGCCGCAGGACATAATCGTGGGCCGCTATGCTGGTGTCGGTGGTGGGGTGCAGTTCACCCATCAGTGGCTAAAAAGGGAAATTAAATACTTCTATGAGTTTCTTAACAAATTTTGGTAGAGACAATATATGCTAATTTAAATTTGTTTATGTAAACAAAAACAATGTTGTAATTATTATATAATAATAATTAACTGTTGAGAGAAAACCCTACCTGTTCGCCATTGATGAACCAGGTGAGCCGTGTGGGCAGACTGGAATAATCCGAGGAACACGTGGCACTGAGAAACTCCTCCATTCGGTACATCGAGTTGAAGCTTTCGATAAGCGGATCGATTTGGGGCAAAGCTGAAATGATTAAAAGGGAAAATAAGATTGTTATAATTATTTCATCCAATGAAAAACCCACCTGCCACCGTCATGTTGTCCGCCTTATCCGCCAGTTTAAAATGAGGAGCATCGCCGCTCACTTCGCACTTGTAGAGTCCTGTGGACTTGGCTCCCTGTAAACTCAGGTCCAACCTGCAACTCGATTCGTTACACAGGTACTTTCCTTCCAGGACTTGTAGTCCAGGAACTCCAAAAGTCATGTAAATGGGACTCGTCAGGGGGAATATCTGGTATCGAAATATAAATGAAAAATTGTTTTCTATTAATAGCTATGAATGGTTTACCTAAAGAACTCCTCGTGATCTTTGTACCACTTGACCGAATTCAGCGTATGACCTCGCATATCATAGCTGCATGATAAGGTCACATTGTCCCGAAAGTCCACAATCTCGGGCACTCTAATATCCGTCACAAAAAGAGCGGACGCAATGGGGTAGTCTAAAAAACAGATTTTAATTGGATTAATGTATATATATATAGGATATATTTTAATACTTTAAACTTTAAAAATGTTTAATTAAACGTTTCAATATAAACGGAATCCTTTGTGTAATCTAACCCAAAAATGTGAAAGTGACATTTAGTAAAGCGTTTTTGGATAACAGAGGCCCGAGCGATTTCCTGTAATCGAATCCAGGGCGTGGCGTCCACTCTCATTGTGTAGGATGAGAATGTGGAAATCTACCATCCTCTGCACGACGGATACAAAAAGCCACCGGCCAATGACACAATTTTGGTGACCAAAAGCAAGAGAATGTTCGGCGGTGGGTGTAGTATGCGTAATTTTTAATTTGCCCAGGTTAGTGACCTGGCAGAATGGAAAATGGGGAAACATGGGGAGCGGCAGGTGCTTTGTTGCCAAGTTCTGGCACATGAGACATCGAATAAATTTGAAATTTCATGAAATGAATATGCAAAACAGTTAGTTAGTCAGGTAGCCATCGTACCCATCGCAGAAAGGAGACGGGATGAGAAGGGGATGAAGGTGCAATGGATGTGGGACCATATGTAACTGACATATGTAGTTTTCCCCAGTAGGTAGTTTCAGATAAGCCCGACCACCAACCGAATAAACAACCAGTGGGTGGCTGCCTCAGAAGCTGATAAGAAATGCGAGCAAACCAAATGTCAAATGACTCGACTTTTGCCTTGACAAAAATAAATTTAACATGAGTCGAGAAATGCGTTCAGGAAGAACTGCAAACTGAAAGGAATTCGGCCAGCTCGATACGAAAAATATTCAAGAAAGGGAAAATGTCTTAAAGAGCTTTTAAAACCAAATCCCATCTTCTATTATTATCCATATAATATAAATTCAATTTATAATACCTGCAAATGCACATTTTTCATATATTACTTATGCACTTAATAACGATTTCCGATTTAAAAGTACCTCAAAAAGTAACCACTAATGCTTTTAGACATTTGTCATAGAGAGAAATTTCCATAAAAGTAAACACCGGCGGACAATTACACAAATAAATATTTCATTGAAATCGATTGGAGTTAGTTGTGATAAAATGCGGCAAATAGCTGGAATTCATTACGATTTTAAATCAACAAAAACTACCGAAAACTTTAAGCCATCCTCGGGCAAAACAATCCCAATGGCATTGTGTGGGCTAAGCTGCTTCCCCACTTAACCACACAAAATGGAAATGGAGGGGGCCAAAATGGGGCTGAGATACAAACATAGATATATTTACACCTCAGCACATGAAAACTTTGCTGATAATTAACCTGCACAATTCATTCGAGAAATGGAAGGCACACATTTACGTATACAAACTCGTATAAGCCAACCACTGAAATCCCCATCCACCCAAAAGAAAATGTACCCATGCATTTTTCGGGCAGGACCGACGTCGTCCAAGTTTGGTGATAAATTCATTTAGAGATGCCGAGACGAGACATTTATGCAAACATTTTTGCTGTGGCTTGCTTTTTATTTTGATGGCTCTATGTGGTTAAGAAGCAGAGTTTTTCTTTCCAACAGGCATATATCTTTATTTAAAGCTATGTTTAAGATAGTGGAGATCATAAAACTAGTGGTTTCTAGTGATATTTCTTTTGACACATGTCATTAATTTTTATACTTGTTTATAAATCAAAAAAAATTTAAATCTCTTTTGACATTTTGTTTATTCACTTGACAAACAAATGCATCACAATTTCTGAATCGCCTTGAAAAAATCACTTCAAGCTCTTTTCATAAACCAAAAAGTGTGTTCTTGAACACAACAAATCTCTCTTTTGTGGCTGGCATACACATAAATTTTCATATCATCTGTTGCCGTCTAAAACCCACAAAACGGAGAAAAATAATCTGCATGAGACATGCAAACACTCAAAGTGTTTTTCCTATTTTTAGTTGCACCCAAATCCTCAAATTAATTGGGTGCTGTATGGTAGAAGAGCCCAACTGATTTTTAAAAGTAAATAAACATAGTTTTCAGCCATTTGTTATTGGTTATAGTTGCTTTGCGGTAACCGACATCGTAAATTGGACGTCCCACAATGGACAATATTTAATTCCATTAGGCTGGCCGAATTGTTGTTGTCGACAAACACATTCTAAATTTAGAAGCGTCCACAGAAATTGTAAAGCTACAACTCGACAGCAGAACTTTTACAGCAACTCCTTTCTCCGGCCGTCTTTGTGGCCAAAACCTTTTGTGCTCTCGTCCTGCATTGCATGTATTCCCTGAATGAAAGTGCTCATAGGTGTGTGCAGAAAATGTGTCGCCCCAGTTAAAGGAATTCGGGAAGAAGATGTACTGAATAACCCCACATAAGCCAAAAAATAGGTCATGATACATTTACAAAGGTAAAACTAGCTACTTTTGATTTTATTAAAAAGAATAAAAATAATATAAAGTTGTTTTTAGTGTAATCAATTCTAAAATACTTTCGATTATTTAAGAAACAAAACCCAAGTAAAAAAACCCTGCTTTGGTAGTTTCTTTTTTTCCAATTTACCAAGTGAATTTTCCTTAACTTTTCCAGCGCTTTCGCACACATGATGAAATACAATTTCTATTTCTCGTTCTCGGGCAAAGTCGGGCAAAGTGGAAAACGGAGTGAGCCAGCTCATTTAATGCGCTCCAAATTAATTGCCCCATTGCCATTGGCAATTCAAGTGCAGAACGGAATGAAAACTCGGAGTGAAAAGCGGGAAAAAGCGGGGAGCCGCTGCCTTTGGCAGTCTGCCTAATTGCGAGCATTTCAAAAATACAATTTAAGTTTAAACTGCACTCAAGATGTGCTGCTACTACTACTGCTGTTGCTGCTTCTGCTGCCTCAGCGCAAAAGTTGTGGCAGCAGAAATTACCGAACGCCAAAAGGCAGGGGGGAAAGTGCAACTGCCACTGCCAATGCGAATGCAACTGCAACAGCGGCAGCCGTTAAAATTATGGCAAAAGTCATTAAAAGAGGCAGAGGCAAAAACTTTGCCAATATTGATTTGCGGTCGGTGTTCTCGGCAAACACCAATAACAATTAAAATAATAATAAACCGATTCACAATAAACAACAACGGCGATTTGTCCGGCTCACATTACGCATACGCACCGATGCCTGCCAGTCCCCGCCAGCGCTTCATTAAACAAACAAATATTGTGTTGCACGCAGAATACACAACAAAAGTTCAATCCCGAAAACCATAAAAACAATAATAATTTCCTCCTTTCCGGCGGAGGGTCGAAAAAAAACTTACCAATTAAAAGTGCGATGAACAGAAACATCAGCCAGCCGTAATCCATTTTTTGTCGTCGTCCTTATTGTTACTCCTGTTTGAATAAAATTAATTGCTTCCAGTTATTGTTGCTCTTGGCTTTGGCAGTGGCGTTGATTTATGCAGTTTATCTCGTCGTATCTCCGAGAATCCCTTTGTTTCGATTGCAGTCGATGGGCGGCGACAAAAACTAGAATCGAACAACCAAGTGGAGGTCAAGCGGGTGGCTCAATTAATTGAACACTGTGTCAAAAGGAGACGTACAAAAGAAGGACACGAATTCCACATCGAGATGGAGAAACGGCACAAGAGAATATAAATAAATAAACTCAGCGACAAACTCATGCAGAAAAGTTCAAAGGATACGCTCTGTCAGTGTCGTTATAAATAAATAACAAACATTAGAGCAGCCCAGAGAAAAAGAAGAAGCCCAAGGAGCTGAGGACAGGATGTACACAAAGAAAAATGTCTTCTATATCAGTGCAAATTCACATACCACGGTAAACAATACTAATATTATATTATTTAAAAGATAAAACACTGTTTGTCATTTTAAAAAAAAAGATCATAACAAAAAAAAACTAAAAAAAAAATGAGTGAAACAATAATAAGCGCATCCTTAAACTAAAAGCATGTAAAGTTAAGAATATATAATAGGGTGCAAACTCAAGGAAAATAAGTCAGCCTTTATTTTACTGTGTATAAACTTGACTAAAAGGGAAAGCAGGAAAAAACAGAAGAAATAAGGACGTGTGGGCGTGGCAGACGCCCTAGCATCCTGTTTTGTTGTACTTCTTGTGTGAGTATATGTGCGTTTGTCAACTTAAATAATTTAAATGCCAAATTCAAACGAATCCATGTGTTTAATATTTGAATAAGCCATCCACCTGCTACTGCCACGCCCCCTTTCACCAAGGACCTCGTGTTTCAGTACCTTTTCCTTTTTTCTTTTTTTCTTGTTTTTGTTGGTTGCCTTCACTTTATTTTTGGCTCGGTTGTTCTTGTCAATTTGGGTTTTGTCGGAGTTAACATTAAACTGAAATTGAAGCACTCAACGGAAGCGGAAGTTGCCAGTCCAGTGCAATTTAAAACTTGTTTCTTCTTATTTGACTTTTTTCGGTAGGTTTCCAAGTTCTTTTAGAACTTCAGCCCCATTCTTTTCACTTTGGCTGGCTTGTTTCGTTTGGTTAACTGGAATTTTATTGACTGCACGCTTTAGTTAATTGACCTTTCGCCAGGAATGTTTTTCTTTTTTAGTTTTAAAGTTTTGGCATTAGCTTGGCACAGTAATAAAAAACTTTGGTTACAATTCAGTTTCTTTAGGTTAATAATCTCTTTGCCCTTTTGGGTTTTTTTTTTTGTGAACACGAGTCGGTTAGCGATTGGGGATCCCTATGGAAAGTATCTCCGCGCGGCTTCAGGCTTACGAGCTGACTGAAGCTGCGGACTCGGATTCGTGAGTTCAACTTCACGGATGCCATCGCGGTCGGCTGCGCAGTCGGCGTCGCCGTTGCTGAAGGACTTCGTGACCGGCTGTCGTGTAATACCGTACACTCAGCATCTGACAGGTCCTCGGGTGCTCGGGATGCTCGGTTACACGACAGCTGAGCTTGTAACAGGACCCAAAGGATATCGAGTATCCCGCTGAAAGAGCGAAAGAGTCCTGCCGAAAGAGAGTCGATGGGAATTTGTAGCTTTGTCGCCCTGACTGTTGAATTTTGGCAGTGCCGATGTTATCCTTAACAGCAGGAGCGAGTATGTTAGCAATAGCATCCTTGAGGATGTTAGTCTCAACTGCCTCTGTTATCTATTGAATTACTTCTGTTCTTTGATAAACAAATTGTAGTTTGATTATTGAACCTACCTCAAAGTCACTTTAAATTTGCGAAGTACATTTTTTAGAAATTATTATAATTTAATATTCCACAAAATTTAAGTGTATTTATATATATTTTATAATAAGCTCATTATTTGTATGCTGCATTTTATTTTTAGGCAGTCATATTTACTGGAGTCTGTCAATAATGCGAGCACGTTAAAAATATAGCTTTGAAATCAAAAACGCCAATTCGCTCTTTCGGTTTGTTTTTGCTGTTGGCGTGCGAATTTTATAGTTAACGGATATCCTTGGTAGTTAAATGCAGACAACAAACGGAGCAGACCGGAGGAAAGTCCGTGTTGCAGCTGCATGTAAAAATATTACGTGCATGGGGGTTGTTTCACTATCGAGGGGTTGGGGAGAGGGGTGAAGAGGGGGGTGGCGGTGTGGGCGGGATTCTGGAGCGAATGACGACGACGGCAGCACAAAGTCATCTTATCATTTCATGAATAATGCAGGGATTTGTTAGGGACACATGACTGGAATTTTACGCAAAAGTTGTGATGATGTTGCCGCTGCTGCTGCTGCTTCTGCTGCTGGTTCTTTTTCTTTTGCCAACCGCCAACACTTTGAGGTTGTTGCTATTGTTGCTGCCTCTGCGTCTGCTGCTGCTGCCGCTGCCGCTGCTTCTGCTGTATGTTACTATATAACTGCAGTCTGCTGGGTGCGGCAATCAACAGAAAATTGCAGATTTTAAATTCAAAGCATTTTGCTGGCTGTCCCTTTTAAGCTCGCTTCCCAGCATCGCACCTCCCTTCGCCTGTAACTTAATTCCAGCGAATAATTTCTGATGCCCGAATATGAATATTAAAACAAAAGCAACGTGCGCCTGAGCATATGCCACACTTTCTTTTGCTGTAAATGGCGTTTCCGGATCCGGCTTCCTCGCAGCCACCTGCCTCTATCTGCCAGCTATTTATTTTATGCGAATTTCGCTCGTCTCCGCTCGCAAGTCACGTGACAACTCAAACTTTATGCCTGGCAACAGAAAAAAAAACGAACAAGTGGCAAAAAGGTATGCACAAAAACTTGCCAAAAAATGCAGTAGCTGCGGCAGCGACGCAAAAAAAAGGAAAATGCCAACTTCTTTCACGCTGCACTCACACACACGTGGGATTCGTCACCGCGAGGGTGGGATAAAAAAGTTTCTTGGCAAATAAATCAGGAATTTTAAAAATTCATAACTTTAAGTTTGCTTTATGACTTTTGTTTATAACGTGTTACCACACTGCGTATGCGTAATGCTCAGCATGCATGCGAACCCATCGCCTCAAAAATCCAACCTCACGAAACTTGTCCGTCCCAGAAGGTATTTAATAATTAAAAAGGCATTCTCAAAAATGCAGAACATGAGGTAAAACACATGTGCAAAAGCTGATAAAAACTGCACACTTTTCTAACTATTTGCATCTGCAAAAACTGTTTTGACTGAAAACTTTTGCATTTTAAGTTTGAACAAAATCCGATTTATACAGAACCATTATTGTTTATTATACAACAAATAGACTAATCAAAAATATACCTGGCTCATAACATTCATAAACTAATTGTTGAAGACAGATTTTGTTTATTGTGGCTCACATTTTTCTTTGACTTTTGCGGTTCGATGTAAGTCATTTATTGGTTTTACCAAAGTTTTTAGGAAAGCTAAAATTCTTTAAAAAATAAATTGATAAATATTTGCATTCTCAAGGCTTATCAGTTTCTGAAAAGATTCCCTACCTTATACATTTTTCACCAATCGAAGGCAACGTCCTACGTCCCATCACATTGACACACATTTCCTCCTTAAATTTTGCAAGATGCCTGCAATCAAGGAGCCGCCATATCTGGCCGCAATTTCTTGGTTAACCCGCAAAAGGTTCTTGGTGACTGCGGAAAAGTGCAGTGAGCGAAAATGCGTTTAAAATTTATAAAATGAAAATTTTTGCTTAAGCATTCAGAATTTTCAGTGGTATCGGTAAGCAACACCTTTATTTATAATTTAGGGATGGGATGGTTGGGATGGTTAAAACCTTGTTAATAAAAAAAAGGATCTCATTTCGAGTTCATTAAAATTACAAAGCAAAATAGTCTAAAAAAAATTTACATGTAAAAAATTTAAATTGTAAATAACTTTCTGATTACAAAAGCACACATTCTTTGCGTCAGTGCTTGTATGCATTTTTATACAGTTACCTTAATGAAAAACTAAATTGTCAATCAGCCATGAATTGAATCAAATGAAGTGTAAAATTACAATTTCATCCAATTTGCAATTAACCCAACGAGAAGATGGCAACGAGAGGCGAATCTCTTTTTTTTCCAATTTCAAATTATTCCAATGGAACGCACATGCCGCTGGACGACCAAGGGTTTTGTATCTCTGTTTGCGAATCCTTCGGTGTTTACTGTAGTGTGTGTGAAGGGTGGTCCAATACTTTCACTGCGATACATACTTTTCGATCGGAGGGAGGAAGGATGGTGGGGAAAGTTTGGCGCTTTCTTCTGGCTGCAAGGCACCTGGAAAAGTGCAAGTTTAATTGCATCGAGTGTAACTAGTTAATGACTGAAATTGCAAATTGAAATGGTGACAAAGTAATTGAGGTCAGGAAACTCCCCTCGGAGTCGTCGAATCGAGCGCTAATTACAAAACGGACATTGCAGCTGCCAATGGGGTCACTTGGCAGCTTTTCCGTGCGTCCAGTTTCGTTTCGTTTCATTTTCCAGCACTATCGAAAAATATGCAACAGCAATTGCCGCAGCAACAACGGCAGCTGCCAAAGTTGTGCGGAATTTCCAAAGTTTCACCGTTTCCTCCCCGCCAGCACTCTAAAAACATTTACAAATTGATTTTTTGTTGCCGCTGTCATGTTCGCAAAACATACGATATATATAGATATATATGGTATAGTTTTTGGCATTTAAATGGCTGGGCACAAAGCCGCAATGGGACTTACGCATATCCGAGTACCTAACCCCAACTGATGTATTTAATGGAACATTTTGGCACAATAATAAAATGTCCGTAATAAAACGGTCATTTGCATGTTCATTTCTGTCAGCCCGCCATAAATGCAAACAACTAGACTCTGCAAAACTAAATGCGAAAATGGCTGAGGCCATGCCAAAAATTAACGATTGCCATTTGCTTGTTGGCCGTCTCCCCTGGCTAAATGCTTTTTGACGCGACCTCTGGATTATAGTCGGAAAATTTATTGATTGGGGTTTTAATGAAATAAATCATAAACAGCTTATAAAAAAGGCTTTTAGCTGATAAATTAAAATCCTTCAATCACCATAAAAGTCTGAAAATCGAATCAAATTTACTTAACTTTACAGTAAACCAAACATGAATATTTTCAATAAAAACTTATAGTTCAAGAGCGGCTAAAATCAAATTATTGTACGCTTTTTTATTAATTACGAATAATTAACCGTTTCGCAACCACGCCATCCAACAGCATTTGTGAAACAATCAATCATTGCTGAATTAAGTTAAATATTCCCAAGAGCTCTTCTCGAGTATCAATAGCCTCCAATTTAACGAGCGTTACATTTCAGTCCCCGTGCCACTCACAAAAACTTAACAAGGGCGCATTTATTGAAAAAAAACCTGGGTTAACATGCAGCAAAATGCCAACTCCCATCAGGAGTAAAAAATATTAACAACATGTCAAGATGGGTGTTCAGAAATCTAGTGATTTTAGGGAGAATTACAGAATACCCTACACAAATGATTTAATAAATGAATGATGATTTATGTATAGTGTTATTGAATAACAAACATTTCCTGAAAGAGTTTATTTTCTTTTTAGATTCTTTTCCAATCATTTGGAAGAGTATTAACTTCGTGTGTTTACCAGCAAATGTTTTAATCAATCAAGCGAGAGCGGTGTGAAAATCATACGAGCTGCGTGCAAAGGAAACGGAAATTGCTGCGAATTGTGTGCTGTCCACAGGTAAACACATCCGTGTCGATATATATATGTACATATGCTATAGTATGTATGGGATTGGATTCGCTGCTTGTGCTTGGGCAGCTGAAAATACCACTTGATTTCAATATTTCAATCAGCGATGCGCACAGTTAGTTAAGCTTTTTGCATACATTATGCAATTTATGCGGCCACAAATGATGCAGCTGCTGCAGCAACAATAACATCATTAGATCCAACCGCGGCAGCTCATCGCCGTTCGCCGTTCGTCGTTCCCCGTTTTCAGTTGGTCTGCCATCTGCAATCCCGCCAATGGCGACATTAAATCATCGATCCAACAAGTACCTGTTAAGAGCTTCTGCCGCATTTCGGACTCTTTTCGATTTGCAGTTGGCCAAGAGCCCAGGATTTTCGTGTGTCGTCTGCCAACAGATAGAAAAAAACACATTTTCAATTTCTTGGAACATAACTATATTTATTTATTAAAATTCGTAGAAATTGCACACTTACCTTTTACAACATTTCCTATTAAGCCTTGTTGGAATAATTTTATTCTACAAATTATAAAAAAAATTCTTCGAATTCGGTTCTCATGTTTCTCGGTGTATTGGATCTTTTATTTGTGTACTCGTTGCTCGTGCATATTGTGAATGCGCGCATTTCGAGCACGTGATTGAGATTTTTACATTTAAAACGTGACTGAAATATTTTGCAGTTTCGTCACTTCGATGCCTACCGCAGAAGGATACATTCCCGCCATTTACCATTCCGCCGGCCCACTCGTTCTCCATTATCCCTTCTCCGTTCTCCATTTCCCGGACTCCGTTCTCCATTCTCCAATGGAGGGAAATACGGATTCCCCATTCCGTATTCCGCATGCAATGAAATGTATTCAATACTCCGTCAATGATGTCCCAAGGACCGTTGGCCTGCGGCTGCCTTTTATTATTATTATTTTATGTGCTGCTCTTCCCTTTGTCGGAATCCCCTCCTCTGCAGGTCAGCGATGTCCTTTCACCTTTTGCCCCCCTCCCGACACGCCCACTTTGTCCTTTTCAATCAACGGCAAATGGCCAAGTGTTAACTAGATTTAAATAATGCATTAGTCGGTGCTGCCTTTCCCCCGAATAGTCCAACCAATCGAAGTTAGAAATGTGTCTGTGCCAAATACTTGCCAATTCGAGAAGTCCAGTTTATTTTTAAAATTTGGAGTTAAAGAGAAAGTGTGAACCCGAAAAAAGATTCAACAATCATCTCATCAAAAACACCTCATACCAAGTTTTGTGTTAAAGGCTATTCATTAAGTGATTCATAAAAATAATTGCCAAAGTTTGCGGTGCAGAAAACGTTGAGAAGCCATGAAATCGAGATTTTCATGTTTTCGGTCTATCAATAAACGAAAACTGCACTGCAAGCTGGTGACATGTGTTTGGCCTGTCGAACCTGACAACAAGCCGAAACAAAAACGGCAATTGAAATTTTTTGATTAGCCGAGCCATTTGGGGCCTCGGCAGGAAGTTTTCCGGCAACTGAAAAGTGCCACAAATTCTCAGTTGTCTTTGGCCAAAATCTGGCTAAAAAGGAGAAGCAAACCAACGACAGTTGCCAGGCTGTAAATAAAATTTAATGAAATGATACGATAAAGTTGTGAGTGTGTGATTTACACACTGCAAGTCTGTAGATGGTAAGGCACAATTGCATACACACCGAGGAAAACTAAGAAGACAATTACAATAAAAATACCAACAATTACCATTCAATATTTTGTTCTGAAAAAATCGTATTTTTATTATAAGTTTAGTTTATGATTTTTGTAAAAAGGGAAGTAACGTGAATAAACTTTAACAATATAAAATAGTTATTGATAGAGTTAATTCACGTTCATTAATTTGACTAAGTCGAGAGCGTTTTAAAATCCTTTGCACATAACAAACTTGATTTTTTTTTGTCAGTGCACGACTTGTTAGTCAAGTCGGTTTTCTCGTAGTTTTCTCACTCTTCGCCTGTGGAAGTCTGGCTCTTGCTCGCTCTTTGTCTCAGTGCGTAATTTCAACATTGGCAATTAAAATTTTGTATGAGTTGCTTGCAATCAGTGCACAAACTTGCCACGCACAAGCAAATACACTCGCAGAAACACCCACACGGAGACACGCACACAGAGACACATGCACACAGTTGCATGTGGCGACAAACTCAGCTGGTGTCTGCATAATTTAAAGCATACATTTAGGCTGCCGGTCCTGGCTGTGTGATAAATGCCAACCAGTCAGCAGAGCCACACACTCCCGAAAACACCCGCTATCACACGCACAGCCTCTCACACCCACACCCACACCCACACACCCATGCAGCCACACACCAACACGAAGGACATCGGTTCGCTGCTGCTGACAATTCCAAACAATTTGCCGAGTCTGGCAAGCATTTTGGACTTGGTTCCCTGTTCGTCGCTGTGATTGCCGTCTTCGGCGCTTTGCCTTGATTATAAGCCACGCCCACACGCAGACACTCCAACTTTGGGACACTGAGAATAAATTCTCTTTGGCAAGTGCAATATTTGTTAAATAATTTAAAATATAGATCTTAAAATCAAAGCCCTTTACATCGAAAAACAGAACTTAATAGTTTTTAAATATTCTGAGAACAAAGAAAATTTTAACTAAATACATCATAACAATTATGATATCTTCAAAGAAATTAAATATTAAAATTTATCTATTTATTTTATATATTCAACAATATTTACAGTGCACTCTGCCAGGCTTTAAGTCGATGTAAACTACGAACAAATGTTTAGAGAAAACTTGCTACTTGTTATTCTGCATATTTGACAAACACTTTACATGCTCACAGCTAACGAATTCTAAGTCCCGGAACCCCTTAAATCCATTCAATCCCGAATCTCCGTCAAGTATTTCAAATTCGAGTTATGAACAGAGATACTTAATTTCTTTGCAATTGGAACTTTGCCCATGTGGAGTTTACAAAGAGATTTATTTAAATGCAACCAGACGTTTTATTTATTTTCTGAGCTGCGTATAAATAGAACATGAACCGAACTAAATGTTGCTGAAGTGAGTTGAGATTTTAGTGGAGTGCCATAAATTATTTGAGTGAGTTTTGTGCATTATTTACATGCGGTAGGCCTGTCGCATCATCAGATCGAAGTACATATCGTTGTCGATTGAGGCACTAATGGTGGCATAGTAGTTGACAAACTCCTCACGGGTTATCTGTGGTTTAGAATATGTTTCAATAAATCTTACGAGTAGTTTTCCGTGAAAACTTACCTTGCCATCCAGGTTTCCACGTCCTCCCTCGAAGTTGTGCAGGAAATCGGTGAGGATTTCATCCTCGGACTTTTCTCCGCTCTGGTACTTTGGATGCTCCCTTACCGAGTAAACGTTCTTGAGATCTTGAATGGTAATAACACCATCATCATCACGGTCCATTTTGTCGAAGGCCTGGTCAATGATGTTCAAGCGACTTTGTGGCATTGGAGGCTGAAAATTACAACAAAACAAAGGTAATTATAAACTCAGAAAAGTTACTACCAAAAGTGAAACCCCTTCATTAAATTATTAAGTGTTTCGATGTGGAAGGCCAAGTATTTTATGAGTACGTAAAAGTTATTCTTGCATTTGAATAAATCTTACTATTTTTAGTATGCTAACCTAAATGTTATTTCCCTAACTTACCCTCAACTTAAGCAGAAACTCGGTCATGTTGATGGATCCACTGCCATCCTCATCGAACCTAAAAATAGGGAGAATTCAATATGTTTGTCTGTTGAGCTAATAGCAAACCCGTCACTCACCTGGCAAACATCTGCTTGATCTCCTCCGCGGTGACATCGAGGCCCGTGTCCCTGATGCCGGTGATGAACTCCTCCTCGTTTAGCGCCTTGCTGCCATCGTCGTCCATCGCCCGGAAAGCCCTGCCATGAATAATCCAAAATTAAACGGTCACTATTGCATAATTCATCCCGGGAGCGATTGAAATGTCATTAAAAGGCAATAAGGCAACATACCTGCCCAAACCCAAAATGCCTGTTGCTCCGCGGCTAAAGCAGAGCAATCGCAGCTTGGTGATGGGATCCTTGTCGGCGCCATCTGTCAGTTCACGGAGCGCCTTGTTCGCCAGATTGGCCTCCAGGGTGTAAAGGTCGCCATTGGGAGACTGCCGGAAAGACATTTTAAAAACAATTTTGCATATAACGTTCGTTAGTGAAATTTAAAATAGTTTTCGGGTCAATGTTCGAAAGGCCTTCTGTTGTTTCTAGTTTTCTAGAAAAATGTGTGTTCCTTGGAAAGGCCTACTCGTATTAAAAATTTATTGTAAAACTAAAAAATCAATAGTTTCCATTTTTTTTAAGAATAATAGAGCACCTGTGGCATTGAATTTATTTCGTGCAACCCACAATTAGGAAAAGTTTACCATGAATTTTTAACTACGTAAGGGAAACACGTCCGCAATTAAAATGATAAATGTAAAAAATCGATTTTGTATATATATATATATATCTATTTTTTACAAACTCCAATTGCTTGACTTTCCGTCCAAAAAATTGGTAATTCAATCGTACAAAAGCGTAAAAAAATCGATACATTTTGATCAAAAATCAAGACGTATAAAACCGATTTATTTTCCAGGTACAGTAACCTTCCGCAAAAGGTATTTAAAACTGACTAACAAAAATACCCATTTATGGATCAAGTAATTAAAGCCACTGGGTAAACAGAAGCGTATCACAACAAAAGATCACTTAACACGCAGTGAATCACTCGCTTCTCCTCAGCTGATGCTTCTCATGTTGTTTAAAGTTTCGCCACAAGCACAAGATTTGCTCTCAATTAAATGGATTTCGTCACTAGTCAACGGGCTTAAAAATGCAGCGAAATGTGGGGAAGATTTTTCATTTCGATGAAAGCCTTTTTCGCAATTTCTCTAATTGGAGACCAAGGTGAAGGTCGCCGACGAAAAGTTTAGCCCCACAGAAAGCAAACAAATGCGAGAAAAAAAAAAGTCAAACCTTGCACAACTTACCTCCATTTTGGGGGAATATTTTCTTATTTTTTTTCGTGAATAGACCTTTTCACTAGTTTCGTACTAAATTTGATGGAGTCTTGTTTTTTTATAGTCGCCCAACTGAATGGATAACTGCAAGATACTTGTTACTTTGGTGGCTTTGAAATGCAAACTGAAAGCGAAAAATAAAGCGGCGGCAATGAATAAACAGCCATTCGCTCGTGGAGAGGGAGAAGGTAAGATAGAGGGAGAAGGGGAGATAGGGGGATACGGGGAGAGAGGCGAGAGGCACTGAACTGCGGAGCGTGAGGGAACGGGTGGAATTGAAATATGAGCTTTGCCGGCTTTTGCGGCGAGGGAAAAACTAGTTACTAAAAAGCATTTACGCTCATGTAGAGCAGACAGTTCGCCCAGACAGAAAACCCACCAGCTCACTCATCCACCTGACTCATCCGCCTAATAACTAGCTCGCTTTGTCAGTGATGGGAACTTTACTATATTAAAAATTTCAAACAATCAACTAATTTTAAATAGCTTAAAAATAATGAATGCCATTTCATTGGAGAAAAAAAATAGAATATTCGTAAAATTTTAAGCTTCCGATTAAAAGATTTTTGTAAAGCCCAATATCTTTAAAGCCGATTGAAATAACTCGATGATTTATTTTTTCTGTTCCATTCAAAAAGCCATTTTGTCAACAACACTGCCCTTGCACACCATTCGGCCCTCACAACATTTTATTTCAATTAAAAAGCGGCTAGAGTGGAGCCTACACACCAATTTCGTGACTGTCTCTGGCCAAATGTTTACCTCTGGCCAACACGAGCTGACACAAAAAACACAAACGCAATGAATGTGGTCTGTAAATTGCTCTAGACAACAAAAAGAGCGCCTGAAAGTATGCAATTCGAAAGTGTCCTACCGTTTGAAATTTATTTGGTTTTATTTAATTGCAGTGGCAGGCAAAACAGAAAGGTCAAAGTTAAATAAGCGAGGGCTTTGATTAGTGGCATTCAATGAAAAACAACGATCACAAAATTGAATCATACTCGTTGGATTTAATTGAAGAATGTCATGGCACTTGGTTTGATGTCACAGAATTTCTCACAAGTTGCTTATAAACTTTTACCTTTCAATAATTATTTATTTCCAGTTTTGCATACATTCCTTCTTTGAATTTATTTTATTTTTTTAATGTTTATAAAGTTCTAGAACTTTGTCTAACCGTCTTTATAAATTTCACTGTAATGTGCTGGTACTTCGACCCTCTAGGTATTGATTATTTATTTTTTTAAGGGTTGCCGTTTGTTTTGATTGTGTTTGATTGGGTCACGACTCATTTACTTGAACGAGTGGCATGTAATTTGCGAGGTAGCTGCTCCCTTAACCCCCACATGTGCTCAACGGGTCGTATTTGTCCCATATAATATGCATACGCCCCGAGAGCATTGCCATTTCACTTGGCCATTAACGGATATAAGCCACGCAAACATGACAGCACAATATTTTCCCCTCGACTCGTGTGTTTGTCTATCGCCATGAATCACTGCCTGCGGCATTCACTGCGTATGCGTAATATGCACTCGTATAAACACTTTGAAGCGACACACTGCACGGCTTATCGGCATTAAGCCGCTGTTTTCGTTTGATAATTGATTAATTTATAACAACCTTGAGGCTCCAGCCCTTCGTGCGAATGGCCTTCATGAACATTCCGCCTACCGAATGGAAAGCAAACTAAATTCAGCCCGCCAACTTTTGCCACTGAGTTAATATAAGCCGCAAATATATATATATATGGAACTAGGCAACAGCTAGGGGTGAACCACAACACACTCGAGCGATGAATGACTTCCTGTGTAAATATTTGGGCAAGGTGACTCACATTGAATCTCTAAATGAGTCGAAAATTAGTCAAAGAAGCCACAGAGTTAAAAACATTGAAGTTAGGTTATATTTCTCGAATATTACCCAAAAATTGTGTCAATTTACACAACATTGTAAATATTTTTAATTTATTTGGAATAAATATAATATTTTTCTGTTTTAAAAGAATATTTTTGCTTCTTCTATTAAAAGTGTAATCTTTTTCTTTTCATAAAAAGCTTATTGGTATAAAATAAGATTTCGAGTGACCAGTGCAAATGACCCGAAGGTTTTCCACCTTTTCCACACATTTCCCCAGTTGACTGGCTGCCCGGCTGACTCTTGTGTGTTTGTGTGTGTGCAAGGGAAGTGAGGGGGTGGGTGTTTCAGCGGCAGAGTGTGTGCATTGATGTTGTCAACGCATCAACTGAGCCTGAACTCAATCAGTGAATCACTTCACAACTCGCTGATCAAAAGGAAAACAATCATACGCATTTGAAGTGTCAGAAATTGCCAAAGAGGAAAAGCCTCGAGTGGAGGGACAGAGATGGGTAGACGGGCGAAAGAGATGGCAAGAAGGAGACCAGGACCCTTTCGTCCTTTTTGCCATTTTGCCATGTTGACACACTCAAAACTCTGCGACTGTGTGCGAGTGTGTCTGGCTTGTATTTTCTTTTTAATCAATTTATATGCAAATAAGTGAAATGCTTAACTGAATTTGAGCTGTCTCTCTGACTGACTGACTTGCCCCATCCACTCGAGCTCCTCCTCCGCAATCATTTGCCTGCTTTTGCCTTTTTGCTGGTTGCTTGATTGAAAACGTTAAACGCATTGATTAACGAAAGGCGGAAGAGCAATGGGGGACTGCGATTTAATTGAACTTGTTTTCACCGAATTCCCTTTGCCACGTCCACTGATTGCAACATCCAAGCCATTCCCAACCCCAAAACCCAAGATCACTCCCAGACTGTCGCAAATATTTGCCTGGGCAACACTTGTGCAGCCGGTTGTCAACCACATTTAACTAATATGCTTTTCAGCCAGCCAAACCAAGCTGGATTCGACCCAAAAGAGCACTGAGAATAATTTTTATAATTTTTTTAGAACACCAACATTAAAAAATGATACTACCTGAAAATGTTAATCTTTAAAAAGATTATACCTTTAAATATAATAGATGCCACACATTGCTAAATTAGGGAAAAATAATTTATAAATTTTCATATAGTTTCAAGTATTTATCACAGTGCACCAGGAAGTTTCTTCTACTTCGACATTCTCGTCAAATAGCGAGAACGACTGGCACCTAATCCCATGGAGCACCTTCATCACACCGGCGGCAGTTTTGACAGGCTCTCGAGAATTTGGGACCTTTGTCTGTGGCGACGCCTGTGTGTAAATTGATAAAATCAACTTGATAACTTCATTTCATTAAGTAAACATTAATCACATTAACTTTTGTGCCTTGTGTCGGTCTGGGACTGGTGCCGAAATTAACCCTAAATGTCCTCCCCTCCTCAACGAACCTTAAGATCTGTATAATTTTAATAAGAAAATCTGCTTGTCTGCTTTTCACACGCTCTCGACCTTTGGACCACAAAAGGCAAAAGTCTGCCAGGAGTGTGTCAATACACATTCAGGCTTGTATTCTTGTGCAAAAAGGTTGTGTGTGTGTGCGGTGTGAACCCTTGAGGTCAAGGCGCATAAAACTTATTACTTAATTTAAGTTGGGTCGACTGTGAACTTGACAGAGCCGAGACGCCAAAGAATTTATCATGTCGGCAAATTTAATAAAATGCGAAATACATTTTAATACATTTCTTTGCTCGAACGTTTTTGGCTTTGTCCTAATTTTCGAAATGAGCATCTGCATATTTCAATTTCCAGCAGATTTACATAAATTTCATAAGCCGCACACTGTTGAATTGAGTTATTCATGAAAAGGGTTAAGTCTGCTCTTTTAAATTCGAGAAATGAAGATGACTAGAAAGGCTTACTCGTGGCATATAAAACAAGAGAGTACGCCATGTAATATTGATATTCAAAATACCTAAATAACATTTTAAGGACTGCATAAACATATTAAAATCAAAGAAAATATTTACTTAATTTAATTTTTAAATATAAGTAATATTTGGAAAGATAGCAATCTGTTTAAAGGGTATTTTAAGTGCAACCAATTTTTTAAAAATATTTTCGATTTGAACTTTGTCTTTGGCAAACTGTCAAATCGTCTGGACCCAAGCCTGCTTTGGGTCCCGAATCCGTCTGAGTTTTGATTAGTTGGAGGTGGGCTGGAAATTATTAAAACTGCCATAACGTATCAGATCTGATGACGGACATTCGATGCACACGAATCGGTAAACTTTTTTCATTTGCTTGCCGGCCTTCGGAGTTGGCCAATTAATTGGAAGGATATTGTATGCAAAAGTTCCGATTCGAATGCCAAGAGCAGCGGATGATTTGATAGTTACTCTGTGTGTGAGTGTGTGTGTTGTTGTGTGTTTATTACACCTGGTGAGCTGTGAAGGTTTTTTTTTTGCTGGGGAGAGGGTGTGATAGGGAAGATGTTTGTGGCTGCGTTGTCAAACTTTTCAAATTAAGCGAAGACTTTCTCTCGCACACCTCTACTCTCTCTCTCTCTTTCCGTGTGTAATGCTGCCGTTTATTTCCTAGTTTACTTAGTAACTAAATCACGTTTCTTATTTAAGCTTAAGAGCTCATTAACGCCAGGTTTGAACATTATCATAAAATGAGCCAGGAAACTCGGATCGGAGTCGCGTTTTCGGTGTCTGAGTTTCAGCCAAAGTTGTTTCAGGGCCCCGAACAAGCTGTGCCGGCTAATACCTGCACACAAGCAACCACACAATCAAATGCACTGAAAAAAAATCCGTAATTATAAACATGATCGTTTAAGTAATTAAGAGAGACATTACAAGCCTGGTGAAAATTATGTTGTGATACATTTTAGTTTGCTTCGACTCCTTACTTTTTGGGTAGGAAAAATCATTAATTTTTCTCAGTGCACACACACATGCAGCCGTCATCAATCGCCATTGAAATTCAATCCGCAAATTCTAACGAGCGACGACGAAGGCGACGACACTCACACACTCGCAGGTTGATGGGCACCGGCAATCAACACACATCAAACACACACTCGTGTGTGCGTGTATGTTTGTGAAAAAGAGCTGCGACGAAAAGGGGATAGCGAATTCCTCACACGTTGCCATAAAAATGTAAAAGGGAAATAATATAAAAATAGAAAGTTTTCGCACTTCACGTGTCAAATCCTTTT